TGCATGGAAATATATTGAATTGAAATGCAGCCTTGCAAACAATGAAAAGACAGACTTCAATATTGTTCTGATAGGCATGATCAGAAATTGCTCTTTGTCTGAAGTCTGAATTTGCCCTAATCCTATATTGAGGGAATGAAAATGGCCTAAAAGTTGGCTCTTTGGGGCTTTTGAAACAAAACGTTAGCTGCTCACATCTCTTTTTAAATTGATCCTGCTGTATGGGATCCAAATAGTTGAAGTATTTTGTCCAGAAACTCTCGGTTGTAGAACAAGCAGTTATATGAAAGAGCTTACTGGTTGATTTTTTCCAACAGCTTTTGGTGAATGACAATTGGCATGCAAATAAGAGATAAACCTTATGCTAGCTGAAAAGTTACGAAGTAGTTATGTTATGAAAAGTAATGTTTGACACTCCATTAACTCATTAAATTAAATCACAGAGAAATGGCTTTTTTTTTTTTTAATGCAATATCAAAACTACTGCATTTCTGGGAGACATTTCCAGTGGATTTCTGTATGTGCTGTTTGGAGATTTTGTATTGTAGGTGTGTATGAAATTTTACAGCTATGCCAAAAGTATTTTATAATAAAATTTTACATACAAATTACAGCTATGTACTGTAATTGACTATTCTTTTTTTTTTTTTTTTAAATATGTATAGCATCTCCAGCCATGCATCCAAGGCATGCAAAGTGATTTTTCAGCTTATGATGCTTCAAACCATTAAACCACCAAAGAGCTGTGAATTAAACATAGTGCAAGCAATGGCAGCATTCGCACCAGCATATCAAACCAGAACAAGAATTGCACAGACTCTCAAATATCAAACTTCAGGGTTGATTCATTCAGTGGTTCTGTGACCTGACAAGGCAGTATGATTAATTGCACGCATATTCCCTTGGAGGTTTTCCTGCTCATGCTCTCTGCAGCAAAGACTGTTAACTTGACAGATCAGCATAGCAGCCTCTTAAGATGCCAGAAAGGGAAGAGGTTGGTTTCTTATTGAAAGATAATGGAGGAATAGCAGCTGTCCTCTGCCGAGGGAAAAAAACCCAAAACAAATAGCCTTTGATTCTCAGAGAACCCACACACAGAAATCAGTTGATTTTTCAATAGCTCTGGCTATAAGATTTCTGCCCAGGATTAAGACCATATTTGCATGATACTATAGGTGCCATAATTAGGAATTCAGCTGCAGTTCCTTTCATTTGATTATCTAAACATAAGCCATGGCCTGAGTGTTTTTCTTTTCTTAATAGACACTCTTGTGGATGTCTCCTCTTCCACATGTTTGTTCTTGGCTTTAAAATACTTTGGCCATTTAGGCTTAAGTTTGCAGAAACCCAATTCAGCAGGTAGCTCCCATATTTGCAGTGCTGAGCAAAGAGGCTTGCACAGCACATTCCTTCTGTTCACAGGCAATCCACATGGTCCTGCCATTGGACCAGACCCACTGCGAGTCTTAAATAGGTTTAATTTTTTGAGTAAGGCCCAAACCCCTAGCAAACTGCATTATACACTTCCTCAAGGACACTTAAGCCCTACAACCTTATTTATTAAAGGGTTTTAAACATTGACCAATGTTTCCTCTTTCACATTTCCCAGATGGACTCTGACTGGATAACACATGCTTGACTGATTCTTTCATGTAGTGTGTGAAATGAGCTCAGATGCATGATAGCCCTCTGTAGACACACCTGCTCCTGTGGGCATGACACTGCAGCCCTGGCTCAGGAATGAGAGCTCCCAGAAGCAAATTGTAGGCAGGGAAATCCCACGGACACCATCACCAGGGCTAGGGTGGTCAGGGGCAGGCTGAGCCAAGGCGGCCGATCCATGGAGAACCCTGCACTCTCATGCCTCACAGACATCTCTGTTCTGTTCTAGGACAAATCCCTTAAAACCCACCTGGAAGCACAAGTCTGGAAACTGGGACCTGGGCTACCTTTCCACTGCACTTTCCAACTTTCGTTCTCCGGCACCTACTGAAGATTCAGTTTATAAATGTCCTTAAAATCCAGCACTCTGTGCTGGACCTCCATCATAGGGTTACATTTATAGCAGAAATTGTGGGTAATGATCCCTGGATACTCCCATGACATCCCTCATCTACTCCGAGCATTGAATTAAGCTCTTCATTCAGTAGCTAAATTTTCTAACATATTGTGAAATCTTGTCTATTACTGGCAACACCAAAACACAAAAAGCAGGGGAAGTGCAACAAAAAAATGCTCTTATTACTTTGACTTTTAAAATGAGCCTAAGAAGCTGACAGGAAAAGATACCACATAAAAAAATGTATGTAATTGCACTGCATGAAAGAGAAGGCAGGTCTTACTAAAGCAGAGCAGTAGACAGCATGACAGAAGAAAATTCCTCAATGCAGTGGCATATAAATATTGAATAAAATGCAAAAACTGACTCTGCAGATGGCTCTGGGAAAAGTAGCCACTCTGGCTGCAAATATGTTTCAGAGAATACACCACCAAAAGTGAAAATCTGCAAAGCCAAGGAGGAAATCAGTGAATAATCCACTAAAAGGAAATCCCCAGCTTCCACAACCAAGTACAGGGATTACAAATATGTTTCTAAATCAATGAGGGGCAGGCTGGGACAGAAAAGTGAATTTTAGGATTTTTTTTTCCCCTTAGTATCACACACTGCCATGCCAGTCTTTGCATACTGCCTGTCTTTGCATACTAATTTAGATGTTTAACTTGGGATGTTAATCTTTCAGCAAAATAATTTAATATCATCTCTGCAACAATTACTTTCTTCCAGAGGCCTTTGCAAATGACATTTCCAGCAGATTTAGATATATGATTGCCAATCAAGTGAGTTGCATCAGCTCAATTTGCTTCTTGCTTTTTGCTCAGAGAACCAGCTGTACAATTCAGTCACAAAAGCTTCTGGAGCAAAGCTAGAGCGGATTTTGTTAATCTGGATTTGCGAGTCCCAAGGTACTGGCTTAAAATTTCATGATGAATCTGTGTCACTCTGTATTTCCTTCTGCCTTGGGAAAACAAAGGATGGATATATGCAGAAAATCAGAGTTATTCTCCTTAACTGTAAGAAGCTATCGTGCGGAAAGAGACAAAAAGAACTTGCCATCACCTTAGCCAGGTAACCAAACCACCCCACAATGGCAGCTTTCTGTGGTTTGCATAGTGTGGAAAAGTAATATATATGTATAAATAATAGTAACTAACCCCCTGAATCAGACACATGATGCAATGTTTCTGTGGGTTACTGAGGCAAGAGAATAGCAGAGGATGCAAGCAGTGGCCTTGCTTGCAAGTGAACTTGAAGATACAAGTGAAATGAAAGAGTGCCCTCTGCAGAACAGCCCCTCCAGAAGTTGGCAGGCTTTCCTCTAACAGGCTGAGCTCATAGCCTCTCTTCACCCTGTATATCCAGCACTATATTTCTCAGCAGGCTGAGACAGAGGTTATCTGTTTGAGCCTGGCAACAGGCATCTCCAAAGGGGTGATGTTTAACACAGAGAACTGGAAATTCTTCTCACAAGAACTGTTTTTCATCCATGGGACTGGAGGTGCTTGAACATGTGCAACCAACACGAACTGGATCTTTCATGTGGAGTAACATGCCAAGAAGCATCAAGTTCCTACCTCCACAGACGTATTTCCTTAAATTCCTTTGAAGGAACAGCTATCCCAGTGTGGACCCGGACCAGAGGACTCTCCAAAAGTCACATAGCAAGTAAGAAGAGGGGCTGGGAATGACCTCCAGTCACCTGCTGCCCCTGCCATATATCACCCTTATCACTGGAAACCACAATGTGTACAAGAAGCCTGATGGAAATCAGTTGGAAAACACACAATACAATTAATCTGAAGAGGACACTGGGCAATACAAGCAGATTTGTCACTGTGCCAACTAAGCTTTCAGGCTTTCAAATCTAGCACTTTTCTCATCCTCAGGAAATACTTCTGTTAAGTGTTAAAATCACAACGAAACACAAGGTATTTAAACGTAATACTATCAGAGATTAGTACAATGCACAGTATGTTTAGAATTGCAGAATTGTTAATGTAAATTAAAATGCTTTGCCAGTAATCACTCATTTTCCTGACTGAGCCACACAGCTTTTCTTCTCTGCTGCACTTCAGCCTTGCAAAGCTGCACAGCTGGTCCCAGGGGGGTCCAGCCCTGTGGGGGGATGGACGTGTGCCATGAAGCTACTCTGGCCTCAGTCCCTGACTATGGTATGCAAAAAATGTACCCAGGGAAACTGCCAGAAATATGGAAATCTCTGCAATGAGCAAGTGGACGAGAGCTAGTACTCCAGTCATACACAGTGAGGACCTGGAGCAAGCAGAGAAAGGAGACTCAGCAAGATTCCGTGCCCGAATTGCCTTGCATTTTCTGGAGCGTCCCCTGCGTGGGAGCCTTCATGGAGCTGGTGTGACTGGGATGGGCAGTTTAGCAGCAAACACCTAGAGCCCTACAAGGAGCTTCTGTCTTCCCTGGCTATTCCTGGATTCTGGTGAGATGGATCACACCATTGCTCACAGGCTCTCCTCAGCAAGTGCACAGGCACTCCATTTTTGAGGGAAGATGCTAGTAAAATATATTCATGTAAAACTACTAATGTAAAATTCCTGCTGCTTACAGTCTGAGAGCATTCATGAAGAGTGTATCTGAGAGGGGACAAGAACAACTGTAGGGACTGAATACCACTGAGGCAATAAAATTAGATCCAGCATTTAATCATCTTTCCAATAATAGTTTCATTTTTTTGATAACTACTTTTGAGAGATTTCTACATTTCATCAAAATGAACAGGTGATGATGAAAGACTTAGTCTAGACAGAAGTTAAAGTTTGAATTTTAAAATTAAGTTCTACACAGTGGGAAAAAAAAAACAATTCAGCACAGTGTTATGTTTGTCTTAAAGCTTTTCCTTTTAAATAAAAAAAAATTCCAAAGGTTAAAAAACCCAAAACAATGAAATTTTATTATTTTGAAAATAAGGTCTATCTAAAGTAAATATTTTAAATATTTAATATTAAACATTAGCAAAGATCGCTTTGTAGAGATGAAATGAGCATCATCAGGGAGTTTTATAAACTGTCTCAATTCCACTAGGACTTGGGTAGCTGCAGTTCAGCACTAACAGCACACAGCATATTTGGTGCAGTGTAGATTATTTTTTTTTTTGGTAGAATATACTTATTTACTGTCATAGCAGAAGAAGCAATTAGCTGGCATTTCATGGGGCAGTCTTCTAAGAAAAATCCTGAGGCAAGAGCAACTCCACCATCAGATCAGACCCTGGTAGGAGACGAAGGGTGCCCCGCAGACCTGCAGGTGTGTCAAGTTTCCCCACTTGAGATCTTCTTGCAGATTTTTCTTTTCCATCAGCAGCCTTGCCACTCACAAATGCTTCTTCTTTTGTATTGCCTCTGCCTTGACAGCCAAGCTCTTGGCACAGATGGTCAGGACCACGATGAGGACTCCAACCAGGAATGTCACCACAGGCCAGAGGAAGCAGTGTAAGAGGACAGTCTCATCATGGGTGCGCTTCAGCATCACATCATCTGGCCTGTGAAGAGCAGGAACAGAAAATGTAGAAAATATAAATCAACTCAATATCATCAGCTCATCATTAGTGGAAATCATCCACCATGGAAAGAGTGAAGGTGTTTTATTTGCTACAGTGTTAGAAAATGATTAAGTGGACCATTTCATTCACTGCTTTTGTTTGCCCTTTTATCACCAGCACTCGTGGTGGGCTGTAAGAGCTTTCCACTTGCAGTGTTTACAGGTTAACAAGTTTGTCTGGATAAAAAAAAAAGGAGGGGGGGTTGGTACTTCAGGTCTTCCAGGGGTCATGGTCATCACAAAGAGCTGTGAGAGATACAGTATCACACTGACTGTGGATTGGAAAAACCACTTTAGCAAAAACATAATACCAGGCAGCATTTATACATGTCTAGCTCAGATGTCATCAAGCCCTGTGCAATGGGTTAAGTGTAATCAAAGCTTCCCTTTTAGCTTGGAGCACTGATGTGTTCATGAAGGCTCCTAGTGAAGTAAGTCCTGGCTGTGGTTTGGGTGCAGAGCCGGTCCCTGTCCTCAGCCCTGAACTGCTGGTGGCCCAGGCTAGCCCAGCTGCACTGGCAGGCAGGAGTCTGCACAGAGTCTATCCCCAGGAGGACGACAGCCTGGCCCCGTGTGGCCAAGGCTCCCAACTCAGCCCCTTCCCAGCAATGGCTATTTCAACAATAAGCTGTGATTTGGTGCTGCAAACAGCAGCATCCAAGTAGGCTACTACAGGGACACTTTGGGGAGCCTGCCCCAAACATTTGAACCTCCATGCCTCCATCAACAGCATCTAACACACAGTCATGGTTGGGTCTGTAACAGGTTTATGCATTTCCAAGGGAAAAGGCTAATAGCAAGGAGGAAGCATCTTAAGATATTCAGAAATTTAGCTGTGCCACGTGTCTGAAACATCAGTTGTCCATCCGCCTCTTCCAAGTCTGGGAAGTCGGTTGGGAAATCCGATGCCAGGTTTTCCTCAGCTCTGGCTCTTTCTGCTCTCCTTGCAGTTTAACAGTTACTAAATCAGTCTCATGGCATTTGCATTTTGTTGCTGCTTTCTCATCTAAAGCCAGACACATGCAGTCCCTGGAAAATTACCTACAAAGGAAAGAAACAGACTTTCTCTAATTAGGAAAATATCTATAGCCTTGACTCATGTTGGTCCTCATTTACATTGAACTCTCCCATCACGTGTTGCTTTGTCAATGCTATCTGACACTCCTTAGAGCAACAAACCCCGCAGCCTAAAACCCTGCCAACCCAGGCTCATCCAGCCAGGCCCTGGGAATTAAGCTCTTCTAACACAGTGGCACATGGAAGCAGATACCTGCTCAATGACTGTGCTGTCTCTCCCACAATAGTTTTATCCTGCTCAGAAAGCAGCACCAAGAAAGCATTCTCCATAGAGGAAAGAAGAACCTCTTTTTCTTTCACTGAGAAGTTAATTTATGGAGATGTTTGCAAATCTATGGAGTTTAATCCATCCTTACGGAGTTAATGGAGCTAGACTGTCAAGCTACAACTTATCCCAGATTTAATTGCACCTGGATTTCCATTTGGGGATCTCTCACCCAAAATTGCTATGTGAAGGATCCTCTGCACTGTGCCAGCCTGCAAGTCCCCAAGGCTGACACCATGCATCTCTCTTTGTTTGTGTAGTAAGAAGCAGAATAAGATTGATTATGAGCAGCTCAGCTATAAAGAAGTTGAAATTCAGCAACATAAAAAATTGTCAAAAGAACCCCAGGTGTATTCAATAGTGGAGTGCATGAAGTCTGCTTAACCAAAATCTTAAATATATATAGGCAGGCACAGGTGGAGACTATAAATTGAATGAAGTAGTAATAACTTTATAGGCACAAACTCACCAGCCTATGCCATAAGAATGACAACACCTGAACAGAAAAATCCTTTCACAAGAAGTATAATACTGCTTCCCTCATATTTACTGTATCATCATCTGTGCATAACAGAGTGCTAGTTAGCAATGAGGCCATAAGTAGAGAGCACTCAATCTTCACAACTTTCAGCTTACAAGTGACATTGAATTTTAAGTTTGTTTTTTTTAAGCAGATACTCATCAAAGATTTCAAAAATAAGGGGCAAGAAGAAAACCTAGAAAATTGCATTCAGTTAAAGGAAAGAATGTGTGATTGGGGAAAGCAAGGTATCTTTTTGACAAATTCCTAAATGTTTTCGAAAACACGTACCAAAGCTAGCAGCAATGGATGCCAAACACTCATTGTAGGTGTGACTGTAACTTAGTAATTTAAAAGAATTTCCCTTTTGGAAAAGAGTCAAAGACAGAGGCCTTTAATTAAGCCTCAAGATGAGGTTTTGGTTCAGGTGGGTATTATTGTTATTCTTAGCTTCAGCAAGAGTCCCTGTGCAATTTTTTTATGGCGGTGACTCACTGTCGACTGCACACAGCATCTTTGCAGACAATGCATCAAGACATGACTGAGTCCTCCAAAAATACTTCAATAAATGGCTACTGGCACCACAATTAAGATATTAAATGCCCTTCTTTAGTCAAGAGGAGGGAGCAGCACTTTTGGATGGTGATCTGACACCCAGGAAAACTCCGGAACCCTCTGGGATGTAGCCTTTTGGTACTGACTCTTGGCATAAAAAAATAGTGGGACAAATTTGGATCAATTCCCACGGTCCTGGGAATCTGGAGAGATCCCAGTTGACTGGAAGCTGCCTGACTTTGTCCCAGTTTTCAAAAAGGGCAAAAAGGATGACCCTGGAAATAACAGACCTCTCAGTTTCATTTCAGTGATTGGCAAAATTATGGAAATTGTTCTGGGAGTAATTGAAAAACACCTGAAGGACAACACAGTCATTGGTCAGAGCCAGAATGGCTTCATGAGGGTAAAGTCCTGTTTGTCAATCTAAATTTCCTTTTATGACAAGGTAACCCAACTAGTTGACCAAGGGAAGTCAGGTGATGTAATCTTTTTGGATTTCAGCAAAGCTTCTCTCTTCTCTGTGGTGACCAGTGACAAAACCCAAGGGAATGGCCTGGGGTGTGTCAGGGGAGGGTTTAGGTTGAATATTAGGAAAAGGTTCTTCACTCAGAGGGTGGTTGGAAACTGGAACAGGCTTCCCAGAGAAGTGGTCACAGTACCAAGCCTGTCAGAGTTCAAGAAGCATTCAGACAATGCTCTCAGGAACATGATGTGTTTATTGGGGTGGTCCTGTGCAGTGCCAAGAGTTGGACTTGATGATCCTTGTGGATGCCTTCCAACAGAATATTCTGGGATTCCGTGACACTCTAAACACAGTAATGTAACTGTTTTGGTTTTGCATGGTGAGGCTAGCATGTACCGAATCTGCAGTTTTGACTTTTTCTTGCTGCTTTTTTAAAGAGGATGTGCCTGTTCCCAGAATCTGAAGGCTTGTTGTTTGGTTTGGAAACAGAAAAGGAAAAGTGCTGTGTCCCTGGGGGAAACCTCCTCATGTCTTTGCTGGAAGCCCCCACAGCATCACTCTCCTGGTGCTGAGGCACTTATGTTGAACCCAAACGAGGTATGTCATGCCTGGAAACTTATTTATTTTCCTTGTAAAAATCAGCAGATATAATTAAATATATCGCCTTGTCCCTGTAAGTGTAGTGCATTTAGTAAACCTATCTTTGCTCTGTGACTTTCATACAACATTTCAGTTCAAAGATGTTGGCAGAGGGGTTGCACATATTCCCCCAAGGTCCATTATGGGCAATCTCTTGTTTCTAGCGATGCTGCCATTCAGGTCTCCAGTAAATGCAAAGCCTCTTGAGGGGATGCACTCAAACTCCTGACACCAGTTATCTGTGCACAAAACAGTGGCAGAGACAAGAAAGAGACCAAGGGGGAAAAAACCCACAATACTTGCAAACCCTGCTTAGACATTGGGACCTTGTTCTGCTGCAAACAGTGATGGCCATTGTGCAGCACCACCATCACTGCCCAGCAGCAGCCCTGGAGTGAAAAATGAATGAACAAACTAAAAAATATCCCTGAAGAAGTCTCTATTTCAACCCCAAAAATACAGCTTTCCCTTTCACTGAACAGAAAAAGAGGAAGGGATTTTGTTTTCGTTGCTAAAAGTTGAGACCAGGACTTATTTTTAGCAGGACTTTGTGCTCAGGGCTAGACCCTTGTGGAGCTCTGAGCCAGGTTGATTGGATTAGTTGTTTCATTATACAACACACCCCTGTTAGGTGTTGCCAAGCAGTTCAAACAGACACCAGATAAAGCAGACCTCCATTAGAACCTTCAGAGCCATTCTGGAACATCATGGGAAGAATTGCAGTGCAGGAATTACCAAAAAGTCATGTAGGACCAAAAAGTTACAGGCCCATAAACATTTCAGTCATCATTTATGAACCACACTGTGCAACTTATGTTAGACAACAAAAGCTGACAAAAGTGGGGGCATGGGATAGGGTAATCTTACAAATATTTTTTGTATTCAAACAATCTGGAATTAAGATGTTTGCAATACACTTATTTTGCCCACCGTTGTTCACATCCCGTCGCTCTGACAAGCAGTCATTTTTTCCCTTATTGTTGCAAGATGCAGAGATCCTCACCTCGATGGCTGCATGCAGGGGCAGTGCTGTGTCTTACTAACAGCAAAGTCCTTTCCTGCCAGCCCAAGCACTGCTGCACAGGTGATAAAATAAAAGAAAGGACAGGAAATAACAACAGCATCTTCTGACTGGGCAGAAATAATTTAGAAAAGTGTGAAGTAACAGGCAAGTCAAGATTTATGTTCCAGCACTTACAGATGAGCAGCCCTACTACCTGAGCATTCTGGGCTTCTACACATAATTATTCCCCAATAAATAAGGACCCTGCAGGGTACCCCAACAACATACAGATTGTTGCTAATCACTGGACAGCGTTTGCCCTTCAAGTCTCTGAGATAGAGTGGTCTGAGTTGACAGAAACCTTGGTATCTTATTTTTTGTTCTTGTTGTGAATGTCAGTGAGACCTGGAACATGAAGAAATAAAGCGACAGGATCTTCCCCATCCCACCTGTTTCCCCAGACATCCCATTTTAGGACATGCAGCTGTGACACTTGTTTGCATGTGGTCCTGCCAACAGATCCCCTTGAACACTTGGTGTGAAATCCAGAACACTGAAGCACTAGAGCTCAGTGTCTTCTCAAACCTTTGGCAACAGCCTGAGAACTTTATCTGAATTTGTCCTTTATTTTATGCTCTGAAATATAAAATATTTTTTCTTCTGCTGGGCAAGGCTTCCTTCAGATTGGAATATCATCATGCCAACACACAGGCACCTTCACCAAAGGTCCAGAAAAGCAACTTTCCCATGCAACTTGCAACTTGCCAGCCAGAGAAGAGTGGCACACTAAAAGTAAGTGCCTACAGTGGCAAAGCAAGACCTCAATTTTCAGTAAAGCGCTGAGTTCCAAGCTAAGCTGCTCTTAGTTTCCCTAAGATAAACGTCAGAGAGCTAGTTTTGCTGGGTATCTCAATTTATATTAACCAAGAATGATTGAAATTGGCAAGTCTGCTTCTCATCCCTTTTGAACTGTAAGAATTGTATCTTTTTTTTTCTTTTCACAGTAGCCTGTTGAAATGTGCACCACCAAACTGAAGGGAGATGTTACCTAATAGTACACTCTGCATGCAGCAACAATTCTGACAATGAAGCTGAATTAAGTTTGATGAAGAATAGATGATGTTAACTCATTGCCTATATATTTACTTAGAATTTTATTCTGCCTTTTCAAAAGGGAGATTATTAATACTGCAAATAGTACTCTCTCTAAGGAGCTATTTTCTGTATGTTTTATATAGACTGACACAGAAGACTAGCTTATCCATAGAGTGAGAAAAATATGCCCATTTCTATTTTGAAGTGAACAGACTTTTCCCTCAGTTTATTATGGCTTTTTTTACTGCTTCACAAGCTGCTTAGTCATTGTTGCTCTAAAAGTATACCTAACATGCACATTCCTAGTCAGCAAAACTTATCTCCCAAAGTTCATTCCTATCTCCAGTAGAAAATAAATGGTGTACACATTTTGGCTTAGACTATCTTCAAGTATCTCTGGCAGTAAGCCTGTCTTCTGCTGTACATGAATTGTTGCATGATCAGCAAAACGCAGCATTTCAAGTCAACCATTGCACTGGCAAGAACATTCAGCAGTATAGGATTCAGCATCTTTAAGGAAAAAACCTTGCCTGAGTGCTGCTCAATTCCTCAATGTCAACTTACATGAATGGCAGATGCTACATGGTATGCAGCCTCAGAAAAATTTTGTCTGTGCTTCACCTAAGTGTGAGAACCAGATCACATAGCTCTGGACGCCTACCACCCTATGCTCATTTACAGGAGATAAATAAACACCTCTTGGCATCTGACCAATATTAGGCATTTATCTGGGGGTAAGGTAAAAGGTTCCTGTTTCTCTCCGCTGACTAGAAAAGCTAATTTTCACAGCATCCTGTCCACACTAGTTCAGATGAATCCTAGCCATGACTTCTCCTGCAGACAATCCATGTTTCTGATTCTCCTGCTCACTCAGGCAGTGGCTGTTGCAGGTCCCAGGTCTCAGCAGTGTGGTGAACTGGAAGCACATGCCTGTTCAGAGAAGCCAAAATTATAACTGGGCTTGTGATTAGCAGACCCAAACATTGGCACCCTGTGGACCAAAGGACCCCCTGAGAAGGTCCCTGACAGGTCTGATGTCACCACATAGGATGCCCTACCTACGTGTGCTGTAAGCAGTTCTTCTTTCCCCTCTATAAGGAACAACAATTTTTGCTACAAAGCGCTGGTGGGATCCCTCCACAAAGAGTTAACCAGGGCAACAGACTGTCATCCTGGGCATGTCTCTCCAGGGAGGGGGTAATAATTATAGCCAGCCTAGGATAAACCTGAAGCCCCCAAGGCACTCAGTGGGCCACCCACAGGAGAGTTAGGCATTTCTCCACCTGCCACCCTGCTCCAGCTCCCCAGTTCGTCCGAGGTCCTAGCACACAGGCATCCCTTTTCCTCCTGTTTGTCTAAACGAACTTGAATATCCGGTGCCAACATTCCCACACTGAGCCCCGAATCACACCTGCAAGCCCCAAGCTATTCCCTCCTAGGTCTCCCTTATCTGTTTAACTTCCAAGTGTTTGTGGGGTAGGACTAACCCCTTCCTGCTGCCACATCACCTTCTATTTCCTGGCATATCACCATCAGAAAGAGAGAGGCAAAAGGACTCCTTCCCCTGTCTGTTTATGGAAGGAAGGAAACCACATGTCACCCTCATACACCTGTAAGTCACATCAATATCAGCAGTAAAAGTAAGAATTGAAACAGAAGGGGAGATGCTTTAGCTTACTACTTTCTATTCTGCAAGCATTTATGAAATCTGGCAGTTCTATGAATGCTTATTACACATACCTGATTCATTAATCCTCTGTGAACACAATTCCTGAGTTGGTTTGTAGTATTTACTGATCTTCCCTTTTCTTCCACAAATACAAAAGGGTTTCTTCTCAGTGGAGGGAAGGAATGTTAATTTCCAAACCAGAAATTTGCCATTTGAGTGTTAAAAGCCAAGATGCTTTTTGTCATAAAAATTGCATGGTTTAAGGAAAACTTTCCTCAGAGTTTTGTATTTTTACTTCAAGTGATAAAAACACTCCTGTGCTTTCTGTATAGCTTTTCATCAACAGAATTATCTTGCAGAGATCTGTGCTGAGCTCTGTGTGATAAACCACATCACTTGGGGGGGCGGATGTGCGTATACATGTGCATACACTTATATATATTTTCAAACAGAACCAATGGACAGCTGTTAAACAGATGCATAAGCACTTCTGCCTAGCCAAATGAAGATTACTCACCTCAAGTGCTGGTTAAAATAGCATGTAAATGGTTGAGAACCCACTTTCTCTTTCCAGTATTTCTGCTTGTACGTGACGTTCTCAGAGTTCTCCTGATCATCTCTTGCACAGGGAGGGATGTATGAACACTGCCAAGACACGTTGCAAAACAGAGTTACTTCTGTGCTCAGGAACACAGGGCATCACTTCTCTGCATTTTCCATAACGCCAGCATGACTGAAATGGACAGAGAATAATAAGAACAAGCTCCACAGAAACAAAAAAGAAAAGTTAGCTGAAATTTACTTCAATTGTTAGTTACTCCATGAAGGTACTGGAAAAGAATATGCCAGTATTCAGAAACAAAATAAAGGCTTTGTCATATTTTGTTCCATTTTCAAACCAAACTGCCTCATAACACCTTGGGGGTTTGCATGATTAATGGGAAAATAATTGTTTCATTTTGTTTCATTTTGATGAATTCTTAGCCAGCCGCAAGGATTGGATTTTAATAACTTCCTATTTTCAGTGAGGCACGTAATCACAAGTTTTGTTTAGTATCATGCTAATAAATAACTCAAAGAGTCCAGCAAGCTTTCCCAGATGATGGGATATCTGATATCTGGCTGAAATCCACTGGTAAAAGAAGGTGTTCTTCCACTCTTACAACAGAGAGAAACAAGCAACGAAGTTCAAAGCCTCTCTTCAGCGGAAAGTTTCAGCATCTGCTTCTGCTGTACAGAAGTCAATAAGAGTTGAACATGCAGCTGAGCTATCTGCAGATCTCACCCTCACACATCTGCTTCGAAACCTAAAGAACTCAAGGGAAGTTCCTCCCACAGCTTGGTGCACTTGGGACCGGGCTTTCAGAGGCTCTGCTTCGGGTCACACACACACACACACATATCTTGGTTTCTAAGTCTTGTCTTTGACACACCACCCTTACCTCCTAGCCACAGCCAGTTAAACAACAGAAAACAAACAGTCCACAGAATCAAATATCGGCAGTATCAGGATCTCCAAGAACAATCTCTCTTATTTGTACTGGGCGTCCATGGAGATCATTACAGGAGATGTTGAACCACACTGAGTAACACAGCTTAACTGATCCTCAGATAAACACAAAGGCTTTTCGCCCTGCAGGACAGATGGACACCAAGGCTTCAGGTGCACACAGAGAATTCCAATTCCTTTAAAACTGGAAGCTGCAAACAGAAAAAACTGTGACTGTGAAGGTAGCTAAAAAGCCTCCTACTTGGGTACGATGAGGAAGAGGGAGGTGTAGGCTGTGGGAAGCCCCTAAAGGGATGCCCACATATGGTCACAACATTAATTTCTTCACAGTATCCTGAAGGCAGTAACAACAAGTAGAGAGATACCCTCTCTAACATGACAATAAAGATGATCATGACTCACTGTGCCGAGTGAGTGCTTCCTCTCCTTCTGGTGAAGTGTCCCAGGGGGCCTACCTTGCTTCCAGCTGCACACTATGCTCAAACTGTACAGACCTACAAGTCCATCTCCACCAGACAACAGCTTGAAGCTTTGCCATTCCGGGGAGAAGGGAGAAATTTCAGGATTTTATTCCCCTGATGATGTAAAATCTGGCCACTTCTGTCAGCACGTACAATTGTTGTCAGTGTCTTCCATGCTTAAGAGTGGAAAAATCTGCAAGGTCTTCCATTCTGCTTCCAAACTGGAACTTGCCTTTTTCATGTGCAAGGATTCCCATTTTCACATGAACCCACATCTGGTGTTGCCATGGCACAAAGCTCTCTTTAGTTCCCTGTTCAAATGACCCTAAACAAGGATTGTTCCACTGCTGATGACAGAGGACAGAAACAAGCAGCAACGCCATTCTACTTCAGAAACCAGAATGCAGGATTTATCGCATACAGTTATTGCCATCTTAGATAATACTCCCTGGTCAGCAGTGGTTTTTTTTGATTGCGTACTTTGGAAGCAGCAGGCACCCCCCCTCTCTCCTGCATGCCCCCAGTGCATTAACACATCTGTGCAGCAGCTAGATGGGTCAGCAAATTTGGCACGAAGACACCTGAGTGCAATGCTCTGCTCTGCCCCCATGACAGCCCCAACATACTTCAACCATGCCAGCTGGTCCCCTCTTCCCTGTTTGGCCTGGGGTCTAGCACACCCAACCTCCCACCAATTGTACACTGACTGCCCATGCCTGACTGGAGTCACCATCCTGCTCTTCCCCAAGCCCCCAGCTTGTAGGTAGCCCCCAGCTTCTGGGGTCTCTAAAAAGAGCCCCCCAAACCAACCACTATTTAGCCAGCACACAAAATGCAGAACTAGACAAAACAACTAAGTACCAATGTACATTCTTCTGCCTAAATTTCCTCAGTTGTCTCAAAAACCACTATTCCTGTGGTACTGGTTACATATGCATATTCCCTCTCTCCTCTGAAATGTTTCTTTCTTGTGTCTACAGCTTACTGCTATTCTCTGCTACGAAAGTGCACCCTCCCCACCACTCCTGGCTAAACTTTCTCTGGGTCCTTCAGAGACCTTCCACCCCTACAAAATATTGCATGAATCCTTCACGAAGTTCATGACCTGGTGAACTGTTATTTAGCCCCATCCTGAGTTTCAGGCTTAGAAACAACTGCAGAGGTTCCTTTTCTCAAGAGACGCCCATTTGAACAGAAAAGTATCAAGCTATAATAGTCTCCCAGGACAGTTACATCACAGATTACTTCACAATTTTTGCTATCAGTTCCCACACTTTTAGCTCAGTATGAAGTTATTAAACATTGAGGTTTTCAGGGTAGGGATTTTTCTTGGTTTGGAAGACGTAAAGGGGCTCACAGACAACTTCTCTCTTCAACACTTCTGTCTTCCCCATACCAAAGCAAGACAGTGTGTGGGAGTATTGCCAGTACCTACAGGAAAGGGACAACAGTGAATGATCTCTGCAACTCAAACTTCACACTATTCTCTGCACAAGTAGTCCCAATGACAGCTGACATAAAGCATGCTGGATACATTTCCACCTCTTTATCTTCATGTAGAAAACACAAGGGGACACTCTGGGTCTTACCATAAATTGATATGACCTCACTGCTTGAGACTGTTGAGGATTAACAACCTTGAAGGGAGAAGTGGTCTCTGTCCAAATATGAATCCCAGAGGTCACTCTGAAACATCAACTCAAAGTGATGAAGGCCTTGAGCCACAATGAACACCCAAGGTCCAATTCTAATGTGAACTTACCACCTGCTGCACAAATACTGGAGCTTGTTTGCCTCCCTGGGTTGCCAGCATAGTCCCCACCAATCCAACATACATTTTGTCTCCTTCGGATCCACATAAGAGATGGATCTGTCTTTACTCAGCCTCCCAAGCACACTTCTTGGAGATTTTATTTCAGCAACTGTGTCACTCTCCAAAGTATAGTCAGCAGTCAGATAAAAGGGGATTGTAACTTTCACTTTAGCAACAGGCAGTTTCTGAAACGTTAATTACACAGTCCTCCCTCACAAGACATGGTATGAAATACTGCCATCAAAATACAAACAAATGCCAACCGTTTGAAAACAAGCTAGGACACCTGATGCTCAATTGCAGCTCACACAGAAACATCCATTTTCAGTGAAAGTATCCCACGCTATATTGCTTTGATTTTTTTTTCTTTAATAAGTGACAATGAAGTTGGAGAATAGCACTTAAGGTTAGACAGTCAGAACAAATCTGATGGAGCAGACTCCTTTTTGGCACATCTTTTGATACGTGGAACTGTAATTGCACCTCCTACACTATGCCATAGCAACAATAAAATTATTATGGAATTCCAATACAGTTTCAATTACAGAGCTCAAAATCAGTATCGGGCTGATAATATTCCCTCTTCAGTCAAAGCCAGTGTTTGGCTAGATGGCTCAGGATTCAATTCAATAAAAATGTCAGTGAACTGCTAATAGATCTTTACCCAAGGTTTTGTAAGATTTGTGTCTGTGTTTGTTGCAGGATGCTCCCACTTCAGTGTCTCTGCAGATGTGTGGGAAGGTCCTTCTGATCCTTCATCAGAGCAGATGTTCTTCCACATCACAGAGAAAGAACAGAGGCTTGAACTCTTGATGATGGTTTAACTTCCAGGTAGCATTTCATGCTTTTCAAAGGCTAATTCTTGCCTAACTCAGCTACATTTTTAAGAAAAAGGAGACAGACTTGGTAGGTTCTGAGGGAAGCTGTCTCAAGCCCAGAAGACACAGTCCACAAGGCAAGACCAAGAAAGTCTTAAATGCAAATAGACATAAGTAGAAGTAAGTCAGTTCAACAGCATACAAACCAATGTCACCAAGGAGCAAGTCTCCAAACTCACTTGCCATGTGACTTGTTGAAGGCCATCCTCCTGGCTGCTGGTGAACTATGGGACAGAGCACGTACCATTTGTTTGGCTGGCAAAGCTCCACATCATATGCCACACAGTTTGTGAAGCTTTGTGATGAAATGAAGTGGTAAGGATGCTGCAGGTAAGTATCTCTGCAAAAGTACAACACACCACTAAAGCCAGCATCTGATCTTCAGGTGTATTGGGTTTGCTTGGCAAGGTTTTTGTAGTGGAGGGGCTACAAAAGTGGCTTCTGTGAGAAGCTGCAAAAAGTTTCTCCCATGTCTGACAGAGCCAATGCCAGATGGGTCCGGGACAGACCCATTGCTGGACTCCAATCAACAACAGTGCTAAAGCCTCTGGGACAACGTATTTAAGAAGAAGGAAAACTGCTGCACAGTAGTAGCCAGGAGAGAGGAGTGAGAATATCTGAAAGAAGCAACCCTGCAAACACAGAGGTTAGTGAAGAAGGAGGGGAGGAGGTGCTCCAGGTGTCAGAGCAGAGATTCCCCTGCAGGCCACAGTGAAGACCACGGTGACAAGACTGTTCTCTTGCAGTCCAGGGAGATCCACAGTGGAGCACATACCCACCTGCAACCTGTGGTGGACCCCACACCAGAGCAGGTGGCTGCTTGAAGAAGGTTGTGACCCCGTGGAAAGCTTGTGCTGGTGCAGAGTCTAGGCAGGACCTATGGTCCTGTGGAGAGAGGAGCCCACGCTGGAGCACGTTTGCTGGCAGGACTTGTGACCCCATGAGGGACTTGCATTGGAGCAATTCGTGAAGAACTATAGTCCATGGGAAGGACACATGTTGGAGAAGTTTGTGAAGGACTGTCTCCTGTGGGAGGGACCCCATGCTGGAGCAGAAGAAGAAGGTGGAAGGAGCATCAATGTGTGACGAACTGACCATATCCCACATTCCCTGTCTTCTGCACTCCTGGGGAGCAGGAGGTAGTGAAAATCAGGAGTGAAGTTAAGCCCAAAAGAAGGGAAGGGTTGGGGGAAGGTGTTTTTAGATTTGATTTTTTCTACACAATACCCTTATCTAATTGGCAATAAATTAATATTCCTGAGTTGAGTCTGTTTTGCCCATGACAGTAATTGGTGAGTGATCTCCCCCTGTCCTTATCTTGATCCATAAGCCTTTTCTTATATTTTCTTTCACCTGTCCACCTGAGGAGGGGAGTGATAAAGTGTCTTGTCCTGAAGTCCAGCCATGGTCAACCCCCCCACCCCAAACCATATATGAGCTCCTAAATTTTTGTGTGTCTCCATGCATTGCTGGGGGAGCTTCATGGTATGGAAGGGAAGAAGTGCTGCCACAACCATCCTATTGTAGGAGATGAGCAGGTGGACTCACTCCATTAATACAAAAAAATTGCCCCCTTCCATCTGGGTGTCCTGAGGGAGCTAGAACTGAGCACCATGTCTCATTTTCACCTGCATCTGTCAGCACAGATGATCACCTTGCTTCATCAGCACAACCCACCAGGAGTGACCAAACCCACAACTCATCACAGAGGCTTGAGGCAGTGAGTAGTGCCCCAGGTGAGATAAGTGGGTGGTGAGGTTTATCCATGGCCCCTGGGGCTGTTTCCAGAGGAATTGCTAGGCAGCATCTGCATAGTTTGCCCATCACAGGTACCAGCCCAAATACAGATCTGATGCTTCACCAGATGCACCAGACCCTCCCATAATTACTGTAAAGTTGGGCATATTTTGTTATGGAACCTCCTCTGTCATGGGTCATATTTAAGGGAGTCCAAAAATCAATTCCAGTACTATTTACAAGTGCACAGAAGAGATAATTGCACATCATCTTGTCAGGTAAAGCAGATACAGAAAGAAGCATGACAGCAGCACGGGCAGATGTGGAATGCAGACAAGGAGCGGTAGCTGGTTGCTCTGCTACCCTGCCCAAGGACAAGGATGGGGAAACCAGGTCCTGCTGCAGAGCTGCTAACATCTGCCTTATCAGTCACTCCCATAAAAGTTTCTTTGGCAAAACAGTGGGCAAGTTCTTCTGACCCTACTTTTAACTTCAAATATAGAAAGGGAAAAGTCTAAAAAGCCAGAAAGTAAACTGTTTTAGCAGCTGACACACTCCCCTGTCATTTTTCCAAACCAAACTCATAGCCTGGTCCCTGCACTGGCTGTATGCACTTGCCGACTTACTTGATGGTCAGAGAGTGATAGCGACAACTTGACTTTGGAATTAATCCCCCTTAAGCCTTATTTCAGAGATTGTTATTGCTACCAAGGCAGCTGAAGAAAGGCTACTGTCACTCCAATGAAATTTCTTCCTCTGAGACAGCAATCAAAAGAAGAAAAAAAAAGAAAAAAAAGAAATCACAAATCTCTCGGACTAAACACAAATGTAATCATGTCCGGTGCTTTATTATATACATTCCTGGATTAACTCTGACCCAGCTATATAATCTTTTAAGAGCTAAAATGAATCCTGGGCTGTCCAATGATGTGATTATCTTAGAAAGCAAGAGAGGAAAAAAATTATTGTTCCTGCATCTAGAACAGTTTTCTCCTCGCTAGAACAGACAGATTCATAGCTGCAATATGCTGAAGTGCCAGCCCACTCTACTACAGAAAATAGAAGGTTTTTAGTTCAATGCACTGGGGATTTTTGGGAGTGTGAAGCTGCCAACTAATTCAGCACTGTGTGTTGTAAGGAGCCTGAACTATGCCTTTTCCACACTATTGATTTACAGGGGAAAATTGCTACCCTACAAAGAGAAGTAGCTAAACAGAACATAAAATTTAAAGACTGTTCAAAGTAAAATTGGTCAGTTTTTCCCCTTGCAGATAGTTGGAACTGCTTAACATGTCGTATGTCAAATTGCATGAACACAAGGAAGCATACTGCAAGAAGGTGATGGGAACAGGAAGGGTTAATGAATCCCTAAGTGTTCATTCATAAATACATACTGGATCCTGAGCATTAGATTCAGCAGATTCCTACTCTGTTGCTTAATATATTTCAACATAAAATCCTGAAAGCTTTTAAAGAAGGTGAGATTTTAAAACAAAAATTAAAAGGAGAATATAACTGTTTGGCTCCACAGACATTGAACTAGCAGAAAAAAGGGAAAACCAAAGCAACAAATACAGACTTCAGTTCCTTACGACAGTATGTTTTCCTGATGACACCTAAACAACTTTTCTTCTTTTTTTCCTATGTAGTTTTCCATTTAGTTAAATTCAATTACTACTAGAGAATGCAGTTACATCAAAAAAAAAGCATCCTTTCAGCTTGGGCTCATCTGGTAAATCGGATTTAATCCTCAACAATCAATAGCCAGCGTAAACAGCCCACATCTAGAGATGCAAGGAGGAAGGTAAAGAAAATAGATTATATTTGTAAGAGCATGCAAGTACCACACTGCCAACACAGAGCCCTGTTTCTTTATCAATTGTTAGTATAAAATTAATTGTTAAATAAAAATAGTTTTCTGAGTGACATTTACAGGCATTTCTTCTGAAGCTCTGGGTGCTTCCCTGCAGAATTGCAATCCAGCCCCCAGGCAGGTGTAATCCTTCTCTTCCCACCAGACTTCCAGAACGGTAGAAGAAAACAGGACCAAGAAGTAAAAACAAAACACTTGGACCACTCAGAAAGTTACTGTGGTCGCAGTCTAATTTGAAAGCCTCTGCTGAAACTGCAGAAGCTGGCGGAGTTGCTGAGCCCAGTCATTCTGGTGGCATGGCTCAGCACCTACTTCCCATCTTCCACCTCCCATCCCTGCTGGATGTGGCCACAACAGGGCCATTGGGCCGTGTTCAGGGAGAGCCACACTGCACCCTCTGCAGCACCATGTCATCTTTGCCCCACATCGAAAGGGTGGCTTTTTCTCCTGCATTTTACCAACTACCCCTTGCCCACCTGAAAATTGAGAGATATTTAGAGAAGTTCTGGAGCTCAGACAGCTGAGGCACTCACAGCCCATCTCTGTAACCACAGGGAGCTTGGCAGCAGCACTCCCAGGGAAAGGTGAAATTTGCAAAGCTCCCTCACAAGCTGCTATGGGGCACCATCCAGCACTGCAGCTTCATCACTCATCATTTCTGAGCAGTGCCAAAAATTTAATCCAAATCCTTGCAGATTTACCATCCTGCTTCTTACTCTGCTGATTTTTGCCCCAACCACCCTTCCAAGGCCACAAGCTGTCAAGGGGAAAAAAGCAACCCTCAAACCCTAAGCTTGCAATTTAATCCACCTTCCAAGGGACAGAGCCAGATCAGTGCAAGTATGACTGAGGAGATGTGAGGCTGCACATACCAACTGGACACTCAAGCCTGCTATCTGGCCCCTGCAAGCAGACCCCTGCATCGTGCTTAACATGCCCCTTGACATTGTGCTGCATCCACATCTCAGTCAAAAAGCCGACATTTCCTTCTCCAATACACTCAAGACTTGAAGTCCTTTCACGGGTAGGGGGATTCCATCACATTTTTTTTTCTTCTGGAAACTACTTAATAAAATCTCCTTCATTCAGGCAGCATTCTGTCAAGGCCATCTTTACCCAATATGAAAAGAAAAAGGAGAAGGCAGAATAACTGCCTTTAAAGAAAGAGAAAGCACAAGTCACACGTTGCCTTCAGACTACCCCAGTTTGCTGTAAGATGCAATTTTTAGAACTCCTCCACTCGGTCCTTTTTCATGTGGGTGATGGAGAAGTCTAAGAATCAAAACAGCATGGAGGAAACTTCTGCTTCGGCGCAGCCCTCTCCCCGACGCCCCGCCAGCAGTGGCTCCGTTAACACTTCCCCTTGCGCTTCGGGGAGTTGCCGTAGGAAGCCCCCCACCCTCTGGATCACGCAGCGGCATCGGGCACTGCCCGAGCAGACAGATCTCCTCACCGGCAGCAGGAATTTCTCCCCGGCTCCCCGCCGGCGTCCCGGGGCTTCAGCGGGACGGGAACGGCAGCTGAGCCTCCGCTGCTCCCGCTGCGCTCCGGACGGGGGAGGGCTGGGCTGGAAATGAATGGGGCTGATCGCGAAGTGCGTGTGTGTGTGTTTATGTGTATTTATATAGTGTGCGTGCGTATTTATATAGTCTGTGTGTGTATATAGCATTATACTGTACTTAGGATAGTGTATAGTATAGTGTAGTATAGTATGTAGTATACTATACATTATACATTGATAGTATGTTATACTATGCCATATAGAATCACAGAATATCCTGAGCTGGAAGGGACCCACGGGGATCATCGGGTCCAGCTCCTGGCCCCGTACAAGACCATCCCCGAGAATCACACCATGCGCCTGAGAGTATTGTACAAACATTTTTTGAACTCTGGCAGGCTTGGTGCTGTGACCACATTCCCGGGGAGCCTGTAAGTGCCATCCTCTGGGTGAAGAACCTTTCCCTAACATCGAGCCTAAACCACCCCTGACATGCTAGATATGTATATGCACACAACACATAAATATAGATGCACTCTGTAGAGTACGTATATACATATATATATATACACATATACATATATAAATATATATATACACACCACTATAGAGATATTACTAAGTTTTTGCTGGCGCACAGCAGTGGTATTTGGAGGATGCTCCGGGACTTCATCCACTCGCCCCCTCTCAGATTAAAACCCGCACAGAGGGCGATTGCCGCGGACCGGGACGCCCAAGGCGGGCACCGGGGCCACGGAAAGGGCACCATCGCCGCGGCGGGACCCACCACCCCGCATTTTGGGAGAGGAGGGCGTTCGCAGGTCTCACCTTGGGGTTGGTGCGGAGCTGCCGCTCGTCCTCGTGGAGCAGGGCGGGTGCGGAGGAGCGGGAGGTGCGGACCAGGACCTGGAGGCAGGGGTAGCGGGCGGTGCCGCGGCAGGCGGCCCCGCAGGAGAAGGTGCAGGCGAAGCGCTCCCCCAGCTGCCGCACCGCCAGCACCGTGCAGTTGGCGAGGCTCGCCGCCGCCCCGCTCCTGCAGCGCCGGGCGAAGCCAGCAACAACCCAAACCCAAGAGGGAAAGCAAGCCGGCGGCGATGAGGAGGAAACCCAGCCGCATGCTCTTGTCCTCCGCCTCCGTGTACTCGTAAGCCGCCCGGCTCCTCGCCATCGCCCGGCTGCCGCTGGCATCCGCCGCCGGGCATCAGACACTGCCATCGACTAAAGCTCCCGCCGCTCCCCGCCTCCCTCCCCGCCTCCTCCGAGCCTGAGTGTGCGTGTAACGAGCACGAAAAAAAAAATTAGATAAATAAAATGCAAACTTAATCCAGTCTGACCTAATTCAGGGCCCTCCAGGGGTGGAAAGGGACAGCTTGCAACGGGATTATCTACCCCTGGAGATTTGCTTGGGGAGGGCTAGTCCGGATTAATATTGGGTACCATCATGCAAGGTACAATATCTAGAAGGGGGTGGGGGGCAAGGCCCTTTGGGTGCGTTGCAGGCCCCCACCCACCCACTCTCTCTAAGCCAATATCTTGCTAGTGGCTTGCTTAAGTCCTGGAGACCCTGTGTGAAATCCTGCTTAGTAGCCCCCTGCATAAAAATTTGCAAGGTCTCTACATCTACATGAGGAATCTCATCTGAAATTAAAGAAATTAAATATGTGCAAATGAGGAAGCAGCTGCTATTTTCACGTTATTGACCGAGAAGGGACATAATGGGAGTTGGCCAAATGTCATCCTGCCTCAACATGACTTTTTGGGGCTGCAGGGTTAAGTGCTCTACTCCAGCCAGCCCCAAATCCAGCATCTGCAAGCAGAGACAGACCCAGTCTCTTCCACCATTATTTGAAGTTAATAGGGAAGCAAGATGATAGCTGTCACACACAGGAATTGCTTTCAACAGGAAGGTATTGACCCCAGGAAATGCTTCCTTCCAAGTCGTCTGCAAGAAAAGTAGTCAATCCAAGAAAACACATTTGTTTTGCAAATGAAGTTTGGTTATAACCCAGCATTTCCCACTGTGGCAATACAACAAGCTCTTTGGTGCCAAAGGACCATAAGCAATAGTTGTATTTGTATTCTGTAGCCTTTATCACAGGCAATTAGCTAGAACAAAATGTGACAGTTTCAGAGGTGACAGCTGAACTCGATGACACAGCAGACAACAAGGTACAAAAATACAGAAAAAATACGGGAAATAGCACTTTCTGTTGGCCACCTTTTTCAATCACTTTCCCACTGCAGAGTGCAATGTCAAATTTTTATAAATAAAGTTGATCCATAGGTTCTCCAAATGGACTATTGAGCAAGGTTTGGCAGGAAGGCTATTAAGAATCCATGCTGTGACATGAATATAAATGGATGTAAATATTGTCCTTGCTTGCACCAGTGCACTACCACATTGCTCTCAGGCCAGCTGCTTTGTAAGCAGCCTGCCCTGATATCAATGGGTTTCTGAAATACTATGCCAGCTCTTAGCCTGTTTTTTGGTTTTTTTGGTTTTTTGTTTTGTTTTTTTTTTTTTTTTACTTAAACCTGCAGGAGGCGTTTATACTAGAAACTGAACTCATCTTGATTAGTTCTGGGCTCTGTTCATCCATTCCCATAAGTCAGGCTTTGCTGCCAGCACTTGTGGTGACAGCAGTCTCTAATGATGGGGCTTGTTGCATATAGCTTTCATAGTATAAAAAATAAAATTTTAATGGGGTCGATTTGTCACCACCTGAAAAAGGAAGCTCCAGCCTTGCTTTCCCAGTGTAGATGGACTGTGGCTTCTTGTCTGTCTTACCTTCTGAGCAGCTGGCCTTCAGTACTCCATTCAGCTCCCTGTAATCCGATGTACATAAAGCACTGTCAGATGAAAATGACAGATCACTGGGTGACACAGCAATCTTGAGTTAGTCCTCCTGTGTGCATCCAACCCCTACATCATCTACAGCTGGAGGAGATGCTGAGTCTATATTTTAACTGGGAATGGTGCTGAATATTCACCAGGTGATTTCATAGATTTTGAAGTTCTACATAAATGACTCAGTCAGGTCTCAAAGTCTATTTGGATCCACTGGAAGTGAAAAATGACCACCAATGCCTGATTTGTAAGAGAGTAAAGCTGGGTAGTAGGGCCTGTTGTAAAGATTTTAGCTCTACTGTCACCTGCTGAGGACAAGAGTCAGGATGCTGGCTCCAGGACCATGGGCATAACAAGCTGCCAGGGCTGAAAAAGCTGCCATACGAAGTTAAATGTCTGCATGAAATTCTCAACAGCAGGAAAATAGGTTGCTATCTGCTTTTTTGGCCCTTCCTTGCCCCACAACCAAGGGACAGTCTTACCTGTGGCCAACTGCAGATGACTCACCTGGTACAGCTGGTGCTGAGAATGCCTCTACCGTGGTCATGTACCCAGCCCGCGCTGGGGCTCTGCCACCACACACCCACACGGCCCGTTGCTGGGACTGGGCTCACATCTCCGTTTCCTTGCAGAAGCCTAGCAGTGCTTCTCATGACATCGATCACACCTCTTCCATCAAAGTGCCAGAAATGAACTGCCTATCCAACAGCAAATGTCTTTATGTACAATAACAAAACGCCTTTTTGAAACCAATGTTGTGATGCCCACCACAAAGTAAATGGGCCTTCCAATAGGGAGGGAGATCATTTGGAACAACCAAACCAGCCCTTCTGTCCAGAAGAGATGTAGAGAATGAAGGGTTTCCACAGAGGGTCATCGACGTCTGCATCACAGCGGCTTCAGGACGCCTGCCTTGCTTTCACTTCTCATCAGGACTGTTTACAGGCGATGCAGGATGGTCCAACCATGAAAACTGACTACTTCTCTGGATTGTTTGTTACACCACAAGGAGTTCAAACAAGTGATTTTGCAGAAAAGTATTTTGGCAGTATCAGCAGGAAAAACCTGACATATACCCACATCCAATATTGGCACATTAATACCAACAAGAGAATATGAAATGCAAACAATAAACTGAAGTCTAGAAAAATAATACACAAACTTGGTTAGCACTGCTAATCCAGAATCATCAATATTCAAAACTATCGTTCAATGTGCTTTAACATTACTTTCAAAAAAAAAAAAGGTTGCCTCTAACAGTAAAGTGGTTTTAAGAGGTAAACCTACTGAAGCAATTAAAGCCACAATTTCAAGATAAGTTATCCAGCTGCATTTCCTCAGGTTTTTTCAATGTACTGGAAGCTTTCAGATTTATGGAAATGACAGAATGCATGCTCATAAGAGAGAAACAAAAGCAGCTACACCTTTTCAGTTCTCATATAATATATGAAAATAAAAGCATCAGCTGTCAACCCAGACTAACTGCTTAGTCCAATCTGCATTCTTTACCAGAATTCAACTTCTACTAGCATAAATTATGGGCCATGACAGATGAAAGGGTATTTGAAAACTAAGAATGCTCAGACATTTTGCTTTAATAGAAGCAATTGTTATATTTAGGATCCTAAACCAAAAGCTACCTCATGCTTAGGATGACAATTGTGCATTTAGAAGCTTTTCTTGAGTGTGACAGATAGCAATCAAATTTACTCTTTTGTTTCACTTAATATCCAGCTATGGAAGTATTTTCAATCAGAAAAAAAAACTCAAACAAAAAAGGTCCTTCTAGGTGACAAGTATCTTTAAACAATATTACTTAGACACTGTACAGCCCATAGCAGTGGCCACCTACAAGCCACTCAGAATCAAGCGACGGCCTCACAGACCTCTATGTCTCCCAGTGCTGCCCAGGTTGTGCCAAAGACTGCTTTCTAGTCTCTTTATGGTCAACAGAAAGAGTCTCTTAACACTCTGCAAAAATTTTTGCGCAAGTTCTTATTTTGGGTACATTCTTGGTAATTTTTTTCATGGAAACTGTAAAATGGAAACAGACAAGTACAAAAAATACTGGCTTGGGGACAGAGAGGATTTCAGACATGACAAGGAGCAAAGTGATATGATTAAACTGCACATGTGTTATGTACTGCATAGAGGTCATATCATGAGGGAGTGGTGTGGTCGTGAATCCCAACACACGTACAGTCAACACTTCATTGCAAGTCACAATCAAATGAAAAATATTTTTACCCATATGAGTATCTGCAGGCTTCCCTGGATTACTTGGGTAATTAGGTTAATCAAGCCCATGAAGGTTCTCACATGCTTAAGTATTTGTGGCACCAGGTATTAAGGTGGAAGAGATTTGAGTTCTGGGTGGTTTTTTTGTTTGTTCAGTTTTTAACACCTCAGTGGAGCATCCTTAACTCCTTCCTCCATGACTCTTTGGTACCCTTGATTTTTCCACAAGCAGGGTGGTTTGAGCAATAATTTAAAATAAGAAGTGTTTTTTTGCAACAGTAGGGGTAATCGAGTTGGTGAAACCCATTTTAATCCTGGAAATTGAGAGTAGTGGATTTGCAGAGAAACTGGAGCCAACTACTCAATAAAGATTCATAAACAACACGCAACATGGAGCAATGACTGTGAGTGTATGTTGAACAAACCAGAAACAGGAATACTTCTTGTTTCCAAGAGCACCCAGTTTACTACTCAGAACTTACCTTGCACGTTGTTGTACAAAGTAAGATATAGTAAGTATCAGTATCCTAAAGAAGGGTTTTCCAAATCCAAAGCTGTTGTGAGCCTCTATTGGCAGTGGTAGCTGCAAGCACCCAGTTTACTACTCAGAACTTACCTTGCACATTGTTTATGGGGAAAAACACCCACCTTAAATAAAGGTATTTTTAGAACTGCATACTATTATCTGCCTATTCATAGTGCTAGTGGAATGTAAAAACATATTAAACAAGCCTCAGACCTTAATTGTCGGTTTGGAAATCTCTTGGTCAATTCAGTTGCCCATTTGCTACGTGTGTGAGTGTATAAATGAGGGTTGAGGTTTTTTCCTTTTGGGAAAAAAAGTAGTATCGGGTTTTTTCCAATTTTTTAAATTAATACGATATCAGCTAAAAATGGTTCCAATTTTACACCTTTTTTCCTGTTTAAACCTCTTTCTCTTGCTTCAACCCAGAGTGTAATATGAAATTAAGTCTTAAGTTTTAAAGTCTCCATATATGCTTACTGAATCAATAAAAAAAGCCAGACTGTTCTTCCCCTTGGAAGAAGCAAAGCAGCAGTTCCTTGCTCATAGGTGAGAAGTA